GCATGGCCGCTGTGTTCGAGGAGTTCTGTTGCTACTTTGGCCATTTGTGTGCCTTTGTGTACGCCAACAAAATTAAAAATAGAGGAATGCATACCACATAGATTGCATGTATATATGAGCAAAATTTTAAAACGGATAGACCCGTTTGACAAAGAAGACATTTATGGTTGATACGAATTGAGATACAATATTTTGACAAATTGAGACATTGTCCACATCATCGTTTTATCCATGTGTTATTGTAACTCTCTTGATATCGTCCACATCATGGTTTTATCGATGAGGTGAAGTGACTAATGAATCATATTTAATCAATTTGTCGAATTATTTGGGAAGATACTACGGTCCTGTTACGGAATTATTTCGTCGGAGATTGTAACCGTAGATCAACTACATGATAATATAACGACTACAAACTCCGACAGAATGGTTCTATAATAGAACCTTAACATTTTCTAATTATTTTATATTTTTTCTTGACCCAAAAAAATAAATAATTTTTTACCACACCCAATTTGATCTATCATTTTTTAATTTTGGCATGTATATATTGAATGATAAGATGAATGAAAGTCGCATCATCAATTTATCCAGGTGAAGTGACCAATGCATCATATTTGGTCAGTTTGTCAAATTATTATATATTTATTCATATGATCCATATAAATATTTATGTTTTTGGACAACACCCAATTTAGCGTGTCTTTTTAGAAATTTAACATGTATATATTCTATGATAGGACTAATGAAAGTTGTTTCTAGACATAACATAACTACTAGACGGTAGTACTTTGTTTGTAAACATAACATAACTGCTAGACGGTCATACTTTTTCAACATATTTATATTCTTCCGAAATAAAATGTTATATACTCTAAAGGGTGTATTCATTTGGTATTTCTAAATATTTTTTATAATTTTAGAAATCCTAGTGCGTTTAATTTAGACTTATGAAGACTTTTAAAAGTCTTGGGATATTCATTTAAGAATTCAAAAAGTCTTACAAGATCCTAGAGTATTTCAAACTTATTTGAGATTAAAATTTGTTAAGAATTTTTAAGATTTGCAGGGACTTTCAAAGAAATAACCTTACACGAAATCTCACTCCAAATATCAACTCCAAACTCAAGATTTCTTAGTATTCTTCCAAAATTTGAAAATTTTAAAAAGTCTCAAATGTTACAAAGTCTAAAACTGCACTCGAAAATCTCAAACGAATACACCCCCCAAAAGAATATAAACAAAAGTATGATATAATTTTTTAATAGTAGAAAAGCGCACTGTGATGCACGTGGTGATGAATGTTTTTTGTTGATTAAGTTTAATAAAACAAAACAAATTTATTAAATATATCAGTGAATGAAAAAATAAAATGTAGAACAAATGAGCTCCTAATTGTTATATTTTTATTTTCAGAAATAATATAATAATGTCCTAATTAAAATTAATGAAATAACATATTACAACATGATATAACCATACATATGGACCAGAAATATTATAAGTTAATGAAATAACATATTACAACATGATATAACCATACATATGGACCAGAAATATTATAAGTATGTGGAGCTTGACCGGAGTGGAGAACGAGCTGTCAGACGCCGAGGATCACCAAGCCAAGGCAGCAGGACAACCTCACCCTCAGACGACCTATAGCTTAACGATCTTAGACTAACCTAATCCCCTAGGCGACCTAAGAGTCACAATATGAAACTTTCAAACGACCTGAGCAACCAAGGACCTAACAACAACTCGACCTCAACTACCAAGAAGTATGATGGACGGCCTATTAAGAGACACAACCTAAACCGACAGGAATCAAGGGTGAGATTGAATTTAAAGGGGGTAAAGATAGAATCTAAAGGTGACTAGGAATTGATTAGGATATGACACTTTTCTAAAGATCGGCCTAGGCGGTGCCCGAGCGCCTCCGATTTGCACAAATCGATCAGGCGGCTAGGCGGTGCATAGGCGGCCTTAGGCGCTCCTAGGCGGACTTAGCCTGCTCGGCGCCAGGCGGTGCCTAGGCGGGCATAGGCGGACCTAGGCGCTCCTAGGCGGGCTCGACAGCAATTTTTCAGTTTTTTTTTTTTAAATACTAATTACA